TTTAAAACATGTGTCCCTAGTGTGTCCTGTATTCCTACAATGGATGCACATTCTGTTGTCTTTTTCCCTTCTTCAGTTCTGTAGCGTCAAGGTTTCCTTCTGGTTGGCATAAAAAACAACTGACATCCCCTCGGATGCATTGCTGATTTGCACTTCTCCTTTTCTCTCAACATTGAGCACCATTGACTAAGTTTTGTTAACAGTGGGTAATAGTTCCATAATCAAGATTTGTATTCCTCACATGATCATATGTATCATTAAAACTCATCAGGAATTGGATTAAGTTATCTGTGTTGTCAATTTCACTATGCAGGTTAGCAGCGTTGCAGGTACACGCAGGTAATGGTCTTAGGTAGCTTAGTTCATCTCAAAGTTTCTTTAGTTTTGTAAAATAAGCAACAATTGAGAGGCTTGATTGAGTAATTAAGCTAATTTCTCGTTTCAATTAATAGAGCAGAGGATCATTGCTTTCTATGTACCTTTCCTTGATTTCATCCCACAATTTTTTTGCAGATCTAGTGTACAGGAAGGCGTTGGCTAGCTCTTTGGTCATTAAGTTGAGGATCCAAGACACCACCATGCTATCAGCCTTTTGCCACCCTTCATACTCTGCTGTGTTGGGAACTGATTTTTCGAATCTGCAGTCAACGAGAGCTAACTTGTCTTTAGCTCTTAAAGCAATCATCATGGCTTGGCTCCATGAGAGAGAATTGGAGCCATCAAGAGGTGCAGAGACCAGTTGCATTCCAGGCTGATCTGAGTTTTGAAGGGTTAGTATATCATTGGCAGTATTTGAGTTGGCCATTGTAAGGGCAAGTTAGTAATGAAAATTTAGTGGAACAGTACTTAGTACAGGCACTGTTCTGATACCATTTAAAGACAAGAAAAGTAATGAAAGATTTTTTAAATATTTTCTTTGTATATCATTTATTGTGCACAGATGTGCATTTATATACACAGAGAGGGAGAGGAATACAATGATCGAGGAAAGAAAAAAACTCTAACAGATACACAATAACCTAAAACAAACAATATTTCAGAACCTGCCTTTTTACAGCTGTTCTCAACAGAAGGCATCTTTTAATTTCCGTGGTCCACTTGTCCTTCATCCCAGCGTGCTCTACATCTGACCCTTCATTTTCTGCTTTCAATCTTGACCGTTCATTCACTTCAAAACCCTAACAAGAATATTTTCAATCTTTTACGGTATGTCCACCTACAACACACATGTAAATATATATCATTAAGTATTTATTGAGTTAAATCTTAAATATATATATATATATATTGTATAAACTTTAAAAAGTCAAAAAAATTATACCAGGTAATGCAATCAAGTCTCTAGCAGAGAGACCTTGAGCTCGGAATCTTGTGATAAGTTGGTCAAGTGTAGCTGTTGGAGGAGGAACGACACCACTATTAGCAGCTGCAAGGCTAGTTGTCATAGCATCCCTTCTTCTTAATTTAACTGTCCAACTAGGTCCTCCTAAGTTACAACATAAATTAAGAATTAATCATTAACAAATAAATTTATTTTATTGAAAACTAAAATCTAACTAGAAGTAAAAAATTTATTTAAGTAAGATTAGTAGAGATGTACTTACAAATTCAACAGAATCACAAGCTGCTATAGTTAAAATATTAGCACATGAAACCATTCCAGGACACAATTTCTCCACCTTTGTTTTGATAGCATCAACAACTTCAAATCCTCTTAAAGAATTGTTATTAGGAAGTCCAGTTTATGATAATGAGTTCATGTGTTTATGACCTCATTTTATCTAAATAAAAAAAGGGAAAAAAGTAAGCAGGAAAATAAAATAGAAGTTGACGTGATATATATAATGCACACGGACATTTATTGGATTTTGTTTGATTTGGGTTTCTTATATATCAGTTAAAAAATACTGTGAATGGACAAGTGTCGTTCATATTGCTTTTGGCCCTTGAATGAACACTGTACTAATGGCACATAATCTTCAATCATATGGGAACCACAGAGTCGTCTAATAATTGAAGTAGATAGATATCCTGGATGGCCATAATGACACTGGCTTTCTCCATACTTTTATACATCATATATATCAACAAGTTTATCAACGACACATATATCACATGTGCAATATCCCAAGACTGAGAAGTAAAGCTGCCAAAATTATAATCGAAAAGCATACACATATTTCATTTATATAATATATATATATATAGAGAGAGAGATAGAAAGAGAGAAGAATATTTACATTGACAAAACAGTCGTGAAAGTGCATGCGAAGAAGAGAGGCGCCCATTCGGAGCTCTTTGGCGACGGCAGCTCGAACTACAGACTTTAACGGCGGCGAGGGCTTGGGGGCAAGTTTTAGCGCAGAAGTTTTTAGAGAGCTGAGCACGGGAGGTGCCCATGAAGAGTACAAGAAACGTTAACATTACAATTAAAATAATGGGTCTAAGAGAAGAAGAAGGAGAAGCCATTTACTCGTTGAGTTGTGTGTATATATGTACGTATATGTATATATATGTGTAAGTATGTAACTATAATCGTTCTCGATTAAATCTGATGATGCACAAGTTTATATATATGTATGCGAAAACTGCAGATATGGAAGTTGGCGAGGAGTGTGGTGAAGAGGATGTATGAATAATTGGGTATTTATATAGATTGGATGTGAAGGCGTGATAAGTTGACAAATAGGAATAGATTGTGGCCAATGCATGTTCATGGCGATGACATGGTAAAAACTGCTGGCTGGCTGGCTGACTGGCTGTATGAGGTCTTTGAAAGGAATATTATAAGTATATGTATATAGTTATCGTACACTATTTAGGACCCTGTCCTTAACAAATGCACCGTGAAAGCGTATACATGTATAGATGCTCTCAGTGAGCAAATTAAATTCGATTCTTGTTCTGGGAATTTTCTACTTAATATAATAAATTTCAAGTCTCGGTTTGTGGATCCAATAATGAAGAAATATACTTGCAGCAATTGGGATCATATTATTTGACTTTTCAACATTATGACCTGCGGGTTAATTCTTTTTTTTTTTTTTTTTTTCAGAATGAGGTTATAAACACCTGCTTAATTTTCATTAGTTGCTAACTTACATTCTTTTTGTGTATTAAATTCTTGAGGATTTTCCATATCATCAACAATTTAATAATTAATCTTTCTTCTCTATCAAATTAATTAAGATTAACGATTTTTTCTCAAGCACTATTCTTTCTACTTGGTGCTTCTCTGATGAGCTTAGCTTGTAAACTCTTAGAATCTATAATTATAATTAGAAGACAAGTCCAATTTGGAAACTAAAACTGTACCATATATAATTAGTACTAATTAGAGGTATTTTTTTTAATTAGAAATGGTAAATTATCATCCTGTTCAATTGACTCCTAAATAGTCAAAACAAGTTTAAAAAAATATTTTAAAAGATCATAATTTATGAACTGTTAGATGGATTATTATTATTTTTATTAGTTTCATTAGTTATAGATGCCATGAATAATTTATGAACTTATTTTTTATTCTAATTTTAATTGATTTTACAATTACTTTTAAGTAAAAAAGGATAATTGAAAAACCAATCTAATTCAATACAAGATTAAAGGATCTGGTTTGGTTTTGAAGTGATGGACACCTCCTACTTATCCGCCTTTATGAACTTCAAACCATATCCAATAATTAAGTTTGTGTGGTATAAAAGACGCCAATAAGTTAGTATTACCAAATCATGGTAGAATATTCACAAGTTGGCAATAGTAACCAGAAGTCCAAAGACTAAAGTGCACAAATTTCATAATTCATGTGCTTGACAAATAAGTTCTCATGCTAATGGTCTATGCGGATCAAGTCATACAAACTTGATCTTGTACCAATTATATAAGTAATCAATAAAATAAATCACATTACTTTTAATGAGTATAGTAGTACCAATTTAAACTACTAGCAAACGTTCTAAGTGTATGACCTAATATTGAAAAATTTCTAAGTTGCATATTTGGTTTATATTTTTGTGATCTCTACCATAAACTAAAGTTCTTCTCAAGATTTTTAACGATATCTTACCATGAAAGAACAAAATAAATTCTTCAAATAATTACATAGTAGCTCTAATAAAAGAAAATCGTCTTTGTTAATAGTTAAAGTTTTACAATTGAAACAATACTATCACATTATCATACTTTATCACATCCTTATGTGATTGCCTTATAATTAAAATAAAGCCAGAAAGTCCTTTGAATCATCTATCAAAATGTACTCAGTTTTCATATGGTCAGCCTTGCCCAACACTCAAGCATATACTTTTAATTCAAGTTATCCCAAAAGAAGTGGCATCAAGAAGGCTTTGATTTCTAAATATTCTTCCAAACTACTATCTTAATTAGATCAGAAATACCAAATAAAATCATGAATATTTTATTTAACTTTAACCCATTGTTGAATCTCAATTAGTAGTTATTTCTTCTTGATAATTAGATTATTAGGCAAGAGAAGAACTAAATAGAAGTGGAGAAGTTTTCTTGCACTTACCTTACAAAGTTCAAATTCTTAATACTTTATAAAATATTCTTAACTACGATATTTTTCAAACAAATGAGGCCTTTTTAGGTTCATTTTGCATACACATCTTTCCTCTAATCCAAAAGGCAAAACAAAATGAAAGTTAACCATTTGTCAATTTTGTTCATATAAAATTTCTAAGAAACTCTATTTTCATAGTGAAGTCATTGATGTAGTCCATTTTTCCATAATTAGTATAAACTCTATTTTTCAGTAATTTTTTGGACGCAATATTATCTAATTCTTACGATTGCATAGAGAACAAGATAATCTTGGGCAAAGAACCAAAGGAGTAAGAAAAGATTTTTTATTGTAAAAAAGGGCCAATAAAAACTTCAAAAAAAAAATTGAAATAGCATATATAAGTTATTAATTATAAATGAAAAGATAGATAAACATTTTTTGCAACACAAATCTAAGTTCTTATTCATTGAAAGGATACAGTATATTACAGTTTATAATTAAATTACAATACCACACTTGAAATAATGAACGCCTTAAAATTATTAAATACAATTTAGAATTTTGAAAGAAACCAAATGAAAAGTATATTACATATTTTAGTTCAACAATAGTTTTCACTTTATTGCAAATAGAGAGAAATAATAATAAATTACTTAATTAGGCCTCCTACAATTTTTCCTAATCTCACCATTTGATCCGGTAAGTGGTTTGTTATCTCCCATCCTTATCATTGCCTTGACAAAATCAGAAATAAAGATATTAGGATTGTTGCTGTACTTTTTAACTAAAGAATCTGCAGAGTCACCATTAAATAGTATTTGATCAGAGTGAAGAAGACCCTTCTGGTTCAAAAGATTCTTATAATATTGGTTATCAAAAGTAGTAGGAGTTTTGAAGTCAAAAGGTGCTAAATTATCATCTCCCACTCCGACAGTTCTCGGACAAGTCTTTTGTCTAATCTTGGCAAATAATGGATCGATGTTGGTCTCATTATATATACGATCCCTAAAAAGCAAACATCTTATCTTTCCAATTGTATGCGCACCTATAAAACACATATAAATATGTATCTCATTAAATATTTATTGATTCAATAAAGTTAAATCTTATAAATATGTATATAAATGAATTTTGAAAAGTGTAAAAATTTATACCAGATAATGCAACCAAGTCTCTAGGAGAGAGACCTTGAGCTCGAAATCTTGTGATAAGTTGGTCAAGTGTAGCTGTTGGAGGAGGAATGACACCACTGTTGGCAGCGGCAAGGCTAGTTGTCTTGGCATCCCTTCTTCCTAATTTAACTGTCCAACTAGGCCCTCCAAGCTACAATATAAATTAAGAATTAATCAATAATAGAAAATATATATTCTATTAAAAAATAAATTTTAATTAAAAATAAATAATTTATTTAAGTAAGATTAACGAAAATTAACTTACAAGTTCAACAGAATCACGAGCTGCTATAGTTAAAATATCAGCACATGAAACAACTCCAGGACACAATTTCTCCACCTTAGCTTTGATAGCATCAACAACTTCAAATCCTCTTAAAGAATTGTTATTAGGAAGTGCAGTTTTTTCTCCAATAAATGTAGGAGTGTCATCTAAGAGGACCGATGCATCACAACCCTATAAGTCACAAAACATTTATAAGTTATGAAATCACATCATTATGGTTATGAGTTTAAATTGTTTATGACGTTATTTTATTTAAATAAAAAAGGGAAAGAAGTAGGCAGGAAAATAAAAATAGAAGTTGACATGATATATATATATATATATATATATATATATATATATAAGGTTTGTATTTGATTTGGGTTTTTGTTGTTAATTTGGTTTGCATATGTATCAGGTAAACCATTCTGAATGGACTAGTGTCCTTCATATTACTGTGGCCCTTGAATGAAGATTATACTAAGTACGCATAATTTTCAATAGTATGGGAACCACACGTCCCATTTAATGAAGTCATTTATAATTTTCTTTATACGTAACTATCTATCTATATATATATAATGCAAACACAGAGTCGTCTAATAATTAAAGTAGATAGCTATCCTTTTTGGTCATAATGACACTGGCTTTCTCCATTCTTTTGTATATCATATTTATCAACAATTTTATCAACAACATATATATCACATATGCAATAATAAGGAAAAAGCGCACACATATTTTATATGTATATAACATAGAGAGAGAGAGAGAGATAGAAAGAGAAAAGAATATTTACATTGACAAAACAGTCGTGAAAGTGCATGCGAAGTAGAGAGGCGCCCATGCGGAGCTCTTTGGCGACGGCAGCTCGAACAACATACTTAACAGCGGCGAGGGCTTGAGGACAAGTTTTAGCGTAGAAGTTTTTAGAGAGCTGAGCATGGGAGGCGCCCATGAAGAATACAAGAAACGTTAACGTTACAATTACAATAATGGGTCTAAAAGAAGAAGAAGAAGAAGAAGAAGCCATTTGCTTGTTGTTTATGTATATGTATATGGTTACAATTGTTGTACGAGTAAAGTTGACGAGTAAGTATATGAGAAAGTTGGAGATATGGAGTCCGATGAGGAGTGGGGTCGATATATATAGAGGGAGATGGGGGGAGGGGGTTGGAGGTATTTGGTTGCCAAACCTGAGTAGGCATGCATGTTGAAGATGAAATGGTTAAAAAATGCAGGCTGGCTGGCTGGCTGGCTAAGGAAGTCTTATTTGAAAAGATAAGGTCAACAAGCATTACATTATTGATGGTTTCATAATTAATGAATTATTAGTATAAAAATATAAGCATCCAACACAAATTTATATCTGAATTGATCCACGTTAATATTGACTTATTCATCTCGTACTAGACCGCCTAAGTATCTTTTATCCATATATATATATATATATATATATGAATACTGCTGCTTTAGTTTCTGAATATTGATTCTTTTCAAATTAATGAGAATTTTTTAAAAATAATTAATTTCATTAACTGATGAAACTATTTCGAGAAGTTTGATCAAAACAAACGTAATAATGATCGAAGAGTCATTGTATATATATATATATATATATATACATAAATTAATAAATCAGTGAAGACTAAAAAAATTATTAGGTACGAAGAGTAAGACCATTATATACAAGTTATTATTTATTAAAGGAAAATGCTGCTACGGAACTTTATGCACAGTTTCATGTCATGCCATTTTACTGAAGCTGGGGAGCAAGAAATAGTAGTTTTAGAATCTTAATTTCTATTTTAACTATACATTAAAAAAATAAAATAAAGATTGAAATTTCATTGGGTTTTAACAAAAATCTCAAGTAATTCAGTTACCATATTAGTAAATTAATTAGCAAATTTTTGCTTAATTTATTATATATCTACAAACTTGAAAATCAACATCTTCCATAATTATGTGTGAACCAACATAATTAATTAAGCAAACATTATTTTGTCCTCTAACTAAGCTTACCATAGAATTCAATAATATTCCTGAGTTAACTTGTTTTTGTTCTTTAATAGAGATTTATATATTTATTAATAAATATAAATTATAACACAACAAAAATAATTTTTTAATACAAACACAATTCAACTCGAAACTACTTACATCTTATAAAAAATATATATATATATATTAACACTTTTTTTTTTTTTCCTCAACAAAGCAAGAAAAATTTGAGGGTATTTGTTCTTTAAAAATTGTCATGTCATATCAATGCAAGATTCGATATCCATGATAGTGAAAATTTATTTATATGAAAAACAGGTATGGTGTTGATGCATGCATGTAAATTTCGCAAAATTCCAAATTGTTGGCGGCTTTATGTACATGTCAAGAAAATATGTTTGTGAAGATGTAAATTTTGATGAGAAAAGAAAACGATATTGGGTGTCATTCAAAAAGGTGGCATGCACATATGCCGCGGGCCATCTCTTTCGGTATGAAGTGAAATTTCAAAACCCAAAATGTTTAGGTCTAGTGTCTTGTTTTTATATACAAATCTTTGTCTTTTGCATAATGGGTCACCAAAAGCCATTTGGAATAGTAGCCTACTGTTATTTAAATGAAGGTTAGATATACTGTTTAATGTATTTTCGTTATTGTGTACTGTATGAAGTCTTTTTAATTTGTGGATTAATTAAAATTATGTTTCGTTAGTAAAAAAAATATATATATATATTAAAATATGTGTATTTTGAATAAATGATTCAGTTTTATCTATCGTTATTTTAATCAATTCTTGTATTTTTACAAAAGAAATTTCTATAGTTTGTTTAGGAGTAATTTATATGTTTACAATAACTATATTGACTATGATTAATTTGTTAAGAGTTAATTGCGAGACGTATCAAAACAAATTAATATAATAAACCCAATTATAATCTTCTCAAAATTCAAAATCCATTATAACGTAAAATGTAGAAATGGGACAACTCATCACGGTAGATTTCTTCCGGCTGTGGGCCCACCGTCTGCTTACGTGGCAAAATCTACCGACTCCCCATCGAGTTCCACGTCACTACATCCAGAAGAGAAAAAGTAGATGCAATGATGCTAGAACCAAACTGAATTTTAAGAGACAAAAAAACAGACACCGCCGCGACACAAACACACGCCGAACAGACTGTATTCACCGTCGTGGGTGCGTACTGCCGGAGATGGAGAAATCCAAATCCGAACCTAGGGACCTCGATTCGTCTCTCCTCAAACTCTTGCAAGATCACCAAAAGAACTCTCTCAGGCTCCGCGAGAACACAGGTGAGTTGATGCTTTTTTTCTTCCATCCCCTGTTTGGTTCCCGAGAAAATGAAAAAAAAAAAAAAAGGAAATTCATTCCTTCTCTTCTCTTTTTTTTTTCTTTGTTCTTTTGATTTCAAGAAATTAAAAAGAACGAAACTTATGTTTACGAGATATGTAAAAGAGAAAGCGAAGAAGGACGCGATCAGAAACGCGGTGCGTGTATCCGATCTGTTGGTGGATGCCGTGAATGGAGGAGTGCAAGAGTGCTTCTTAAACGAGAAGCGAATCGAGATGGAAATTCGAGCTTTGACTTCCACAATCACTCGATTCATGAGGCAGACGGATCAGTGGCTCGCTGCTTCCCATGCCATCAACACTGCCATTAAGGTTATTTTTCTCATGAACAGAGTTTTACATAGTAGATATACGTACATTTCAATTATGAGCTGATTATTGTATCATTCTATTAGTTTAATTTTTGTTAGACGAAGAACTTACATGGTTGTTTTTGCCATTTAGGTTATATCTCTCATGAAGAGAGTTTTGGTCATGTAAGCGTCCTCTTTATGGTACTTTCAAACATAAAATTTGAGATAAATTGAAAATGATTTCAGGCTTCAAACAGACAAATTAAGTTTTTAATACAATTGGTATTAGAGTCTGGTTCTTGGTTTCACTCTTGGAGGGTACAATCTAGCGATCGGGTCAGATTAAAATTATGGCAGATGAGTAAACCCGGCCAAGGAGAAAGAAAAAGCACATGCACGGGCCAAATTTTAAGATAAAAAAGGCATAACTTAGTCCCAAATCGAGAATCCAAGGTTCTTTTAGACACATTTCTTAGGTAATGTAGATTCTTGTAGCCATTGTGTTTGCATTCTGGAAATGAAGTAGAGAACAGAGGTTTTTCTGTTCTTCCCAGCTTTTTCCCTCGATTGTAGAACACATGGTGGGAGGACTTGTGATGAATGGTTGAATGTGTATTTTATTGAATATTACACCCCTATATATATAAACTATCTATAATAGAAACAGAACTGAATCATTATTACATTAATTACATTATGTATTTTACCCTAATGTCCTTTAACCTAATTGTATAATCTTGTTAACATTCTCTCTCTAAGGCAGAGAATATATATTTTTTATCGTCAACTTGCCAATGATAGTCTAGAATGTTGGATTGGTCAGGTATTTAGTTAACGTATATGCAAGCTGTGAGCTGGTTGACAAATATGGAGTACATATTAAGTCACTACTAGCTTTTCTTTTATGAAATATTTGTCAATTTCAATATATTTGATTATGTCATGTTGCATTGGATTATGGGCGATGCTTTTAGCCGATTTACTGTTACAATATAAGCGCACAGAGTTGTCCCGCTTGATTTTCAAATATTCTAAGGTTCTTTTTGGGTATAGTAACTCACATATTCCTTGAGTCATTGCTTAGAATTCTGATTTTGCACTCGACCTTATAATTATGTATGTTTCTTACTCCTCTATATAATTAGGTTACTCCCAAGGAAAGTACAAAAACCTGTGGTAAATCTTTTGTCTACCATTGACCTTGTGTAGTCTGCATCTATATAGCCTTTTAAAGCAACTTGTCATTCTTTTTTAAATATGATTTTTTTTGCAGATGACCCTTTTAGGTAATACAACACTCTATAGGCTATTTGTAAGTATATTTCTTTAAATATGAATTGACTTATAACAGTTACCACATAGGCGATGTTGGGTCTTGTATGTGACAGATATATTTGTCTTCCAACTAATCTCTAATATATCTCCTTATTTACTGGTTTATCCTCTTCTATCAATCCTAGTTTATGATTGAGATTGATAGGGATATTTGTTGGTTTACATGTTAGTCACAAGGAAATAGGTGGGTCTCATTCCCTTGGCTATATTTTGAGTAATGTGGAAAGAAAGAAACAAGAGAGCTTTTGAAGGGGTGGGAGATGAGTTTGAGAGGATTAGAGATAGATGGTTACATACCATTGGCTTTTTGGTTATAGGTGATACTCTTTATTCTATGGAGGGCCTTAGGAATCTTATTGATATCTTGATTGACATATAAGTACTTTTGTACATGAATTGGCATCCCATTAGTGCTTGTAAATTGGTGATACATACGATACTTTTTATTTTTTTAAAGAAAAAAAAAAAAAGACACCTTATAAGCGCAAACATGAAGAAGATGATTGTTTTGATTGTTTTATCATATGTGGATGATCTTCTTGTGACTTGAAACGAAACAGAATTAGTGGACAGATTTAAGAAAAAAATGAAGAAAGAATTTGAAATGACAGATTTGGGGGAAATGTCCTATTTCCATGGAATGGAAATACGCCAGTGGGAGGATGGAGTGTTTGTCAACCAAGGAAAATATGCAAGAGACGTTCTTAGGAAATTTGGAATGGAAAAGTGCAAGTCAATTTGCAGTTTCGTAGCTCAACATGGAAAATAAGCAAGAAAGATGGAGCAGTGAAAATAGATACAAATGTGTACAGAAGCTTGGTTGGCTGTTTGCATTACTTAATACCCACTCAGCCAGACATCATGTATGCAGCTAGTTTACTCTCAAGATTCAAGGCCGGGAAGAGTTTGTTGAGGTTCCTTTGACTATTGAATTTATTATGGAAGAAATTTTGAAGTTGATAGGGCTCAGTAGTAGTGATTGGGGAAGTTCTATGGATGACATCAAGAGCATTTTTGGTCATCTTTTTCACCTTGGATCAGGTATAATAAGCTGGTTTAAAGAAACAAAAAATAGTAGCACAATATACAGTTAGAAGTAGAGTATATGGCTGCAGCAAGTTCAGTGAATTAGGTCATCTGGCTTAGGAAGGTGCCTAATGACTTGGTCAGGAGCAAAATGAGCCTACAATCATATTTTGTGACAACCAGTCAGCTGCAGCCATTGCCAAAAATCTTGTGTTTCATGGCAAGA